ATATATATATATATATATATACCTTTATTTATATATATATACATTTATTTATATATATATATACATATATATACACATATACATATATATAAATGTATATATATACAATTATATGTATATATATATATGTTTATACATGTAGTGTAATTGTTTAATTTGAATTTTTTATTCTATTTTATTAACCTAAAATCTGTAGTCTAGCTAATTTCTGTATTTTTTCTTGTTAAACAGTTTTTATTGAGGAATCATACATGAAAATTGAAACATCAACAATACACATGTGTCCTCTTTTTTAATGTGAACAAAAAAAACATAAAGACAATACTAATTTCTGTATTTTTAAACACGTTTTGAAGAGTTCTAGTTGTTTTATTTATTTTTATATTTGTATTTTTCACTGTAAAATTCTTACTGTTGTGTTTTTAGGTAGACAATTTTAAGATCTGTCCAGGGAAAGCAGTTGAAAAATAGCATTTTGGCTAATTCTAGTGCTTTTGCAGGAATACTTATTAATGTACACTGTCCTTGTCAAATACATAAATAAATATGATCAAACTCAAATGGGGCTTAGGATTTCCGCAAATATTTCTAGGATTTAAAAAATGGCAAGTAAAGATAAAGCATAAATTAATGATAAGCAAATGATTTACTCAGATAATCATAGATTCCAATAATTGAAATGAATTAGATTTATTGAAATACTGGATTACTAAGTAATGCTTAAACTGCGATGGATGGATGGATGGAATGAAGAATCTTGAAATAATTTCCATCCTCTGTTACAGATTTGTCCAGAGCTGAGGTGTAGGAGAGCTCGTGCGCTGTGTGGCAGAGGGCGGACCATAAAGGACGAGCGCACACGGGCCGAGCCCATATAAAGCAGACCGCTGCTGGGGTGGCACATCTGTCTTCTCTTTCTGAATTTCACAAAAAACTCAGACTTCCTGCTACTGTTGATCTCGTTCCGTTTCTTTTCATATCTATTTTTTAAGCAAACCACAACAATTGACTAGGCAAGTTTTTCCCCGTTCAGCGACATGGAGTCCTATACGGTCTCTGGAGCGCAGCGCTCTCTGTCAGACCTGTTCTCCGTCATCCCCTTAAACCTAACCTTCCCGGAGGAAGGCGAGGCGAACTCCTCTGAGCCGGAGAGCCGGGTGAGGAGCACCGGGGAGATGGCCATCGCCGTGTCCATCACAGCGCTCTACTCCGTTATTTGCTTGGTGGGTCTGCTGGGCAACGTCCTGGTCATGTACGGAGTTGTCAGGTAAATACATGGGAGATTTCTATTTTATTTTAAGAAAAAGGAGCAGATCTGGGGTGGTTCTAGGACCAGAAGTTTAGAGGGGCTGAGCCCCCAGAAAGCTTTCTAACCAGACAAGATTCCTTTCATGTTTTCTACACGTGTGTCTGAAACTTATTCAGTGCGGTTTTCTAAAGCTTGACCCCATCATTCACTAATGAATCATTTTTAGAAGAATATTCCAACCAAATAAAGCTTTTAAATCAACTCATTACATGAAAACCTTTGTTTCAGTTTTCATGAAATGAGTTTTATCTTTTGTGTGCCAAAATGACTTCCATGATAAATGGAAAATAATCTACTGAATGAAATGTTTTTATTTACCAGTTTAACAACTGCTGCTATTCTGTCTGTTTTTTACCTGGTTATTCCTGACCTTTCACTTTGCACACACCTGCCTCCCCTGCCCCCCCTTTTACACCTCTCCCTCTTTAGACTGGCGACCATAACATGGATTATAAACTTAACTATTTAATTTCAATTCAGTTTATTTCTATAGCGCCAATTCACAACACATGTCATCTCGAGGCACTTTACATTTCACCAGATCATACCGTCAGATTGATTTAAAGTTTTCTATATAAGGAAAACCAGTTGATTGGATCGATTCATTGACTCAATGAGTCCTGCCTCCTCTTTAATGCTCTTTTCACTTTGGATCACACCACAGGTTTTAGTGACCTCTGGGCTGGGCTGCTAAGATCAATTTTAAATGTGATTAAGCATTTCTGTGTTGATTTTGCTAAAGGTATAACTGTTCTGCTGAAACACAAAGTAGCAACTTATTTTCAGTTTATTGGTAGAGTTGTTGCTTTACTATTTTTTTCCCCATAGTCTATATTCTGGTATTTTAAAGAGCTCATAATTGAAAGCTCTTTAAAAGTGTTATTCTGCAGGAAGACTCTGGCCCACAGCATTAGGCCCCTCCACTTTGTGTAATGGTGTGCATGAGGTGCTTTCAAACATATCCATGCTTTGTTTGATATTGTAATGGTTTTTACACCCTTAATTCACTCTAACTTTGCCCTGGTCTTTCAGTCCTGCACCAGATCCACAATAATAAAAACAATAAAGTGAGAATATAAATTGATTTTAACATTTTAATCAAAAAGTTGGAGAAAATGGAAAGGAATCATCTTTGAGGCTCTTACCACTGACATTACATGCTGGCAGTCCATTGCCCACGACCAGAATAATTGGGAGGCTCCAGCTTTAAACTAATTGGACTCACTTACTGTGATTGCTCCCTGAGTGAATCAGAAAATGAGAAAACTACATGTTTTAGAATAGAAAATCCCTTTATTGTCCCACAATGGGGAAACTATGTTTGCCACTAAGGATCTTATCTGTTAACAACAGATGTTTGACACATCCGTGATGTCCGCAGGCCAAATGATGTTATTTTAGCTCCACGCCCCTTAGTGTGGCATCCATTTGGACAAAGTTTTCATGCGGGGCACCTAGGAAAATTTGTAACAGATCTGTAAAGATCCGCACAGAAACACATGAGCTAGAAATAGAGATGGTTTGCAAATGTAAAAAAGATTTCTGGTAATTTAGCTCATAAATAACGCCACTATTTATAGATTGTGAAAAACTCTAACAAAGAAATGACTGTTGCTTTTGGACAGCATAAAGAGGCGGTGAAAAAGGATCTGAGGGTATAAAAGCTGCAGAATTTGGGACAGGCAGCTTATTTTCCTTATTTCCATCCTTACCCAACAACAACAATATTAAGCTCACCAAGAAAGTTTGTGACTTGAAACCACAATCTCAGTCTCTTCTGACCAAAGGTGACACTACTAAATAAAGCCTTAATACATTATAACAGCATTTACATTTTAAAAGGCAGAAGTGACATGAAGTAGAATTTATATAGTATCTGTTGGTCATTATGTAGACTTGTTGACACCAATATGCAACTCTTTGTAGGATTTATTTAAAAGTGTGTGTGGAGATGTTTCTTTTACCTTCGTCATCTAACTGCTATCCGTGATGGCAATTAAAATATGTTCATCCAGCCTATTGATCAAACAAGGCTTCTGAGTTCCAATAAAGTCACACCTTATGGAAACACAAAGTTGTGGACTAATCTTTAACTCTAATCAATCAATAACAAAAACTTTATTTCCGAAAATGTTAACACCTAAAAAATTTCTTAAAAATAATACTTTATTAAGTTGATTTCCTTTCCAATATGAATATTAGAATATTTCATTTTTTTTCTGCATCAAAATATAGCTATTTTCTTAACAGTAATACCCCTCCCACCTTTACATCAGTGATTGGTTTTGTCTTGGAAGTGAACTTGTTGATTTTTTTGATTCTGACTTACTAAGCGATGTTTGTGTGCAGTAATTATATAGTGCGGTGGTTTTCAAAGTGTGAGGCGCGCCTCCCCTGGGAGGCGCCAGAGCACCTTAGGGTAGGCGCGGTGAGAGGGAAAAAATAAATATGGATTTAGGACCAAGTTGGAACTGTGGGGTGCGCGTGTGGAGCGGGGATCAGTGGAAATGTTTCCCATCTTAGAGGATGTTTTGGCCAGAGCGGGGCTGAAGGTGGAGTTTTTGCTGCAGGCTGTCTGTGCGCATTTGGAGGGGATGCGCGAGCAGTTTGGAGAGTGTTTTGGAGAGGAGACAATGGCAAACCAGTGGGTGAGAAACCCATTTTCCTTCCCCGTGACACTCAAAGATGGACTTTCA